AGTTGATTAGAAGGAAAAGCGTAAAAATCAAAAGCGATTCTATGCTGTCAATAGCAGAGATTTGGAAAGAGAATTGAATGCGTTGGACTTGAATGCAAAAAAAGTATGCTAGGGGTTTTCGGGCAAAAAGGAATTGGGGAGTTTTTTTTGCCTAATCCAGCCCTGCCATTCCATCCAATTCACCAGGGCAAAGGCGGCAATCTTTTGAGCGTTTTTTGTGTCCCTTTCACTGTTTTTCTCATAAATGCCTATTCTTTCTGTGGAATCGAGCGGTTGAATTGATTGCTTATTTTAAAAGTATCAGAAAAATGGAAAAAAATGCTGGAATGAAGCTTTGACTTTCCTGTATCAGTTATCGTATTTTCTGTAATAGTAGTGCAGTCTGGAATAGTAGTGGAGTCTGTAATAGGAGTGGAGTCTGGAATAGTCGTGGAGTCTTGAATAGTAGTGGAATCTGGAATAGTAGTGGAGTCTGGAATAGTAGTGGAATCTGGAATAGTAGTGGAGTCTTGAATAGTAGTGGAATCTTGAATAGTAGTGGAGTCTGTAATAGCTGAGGAGTCTGGAATAGTAGTGGAGTCTGTAATAGGAGTGGAGTCTGGAATAGTCGTGGAGTCTTGAATAGTAGTGGAATCTGGAATAGTAGTGGAGTCTGTAATAGGAGTGGAGTCTGGAATAGTAGTGGAGTCTTGAATAGTAGTGGAATCTGGAATAGTAGTGGAGTCTGTAATAGCTGAGGAGTCTGGAATAGTAGTGGAGTCTGTAACAGTAGTGCAGAGAGGAGGAGAGTTGAGAAAAAAAGTTAGTAGTAAACCCTGATAAAATTTCCTCTATTTTTGTTCATTTTCGTTTTCTTTATTTTAAAAGCATACTATTAGCTAAATGAGATATTTGTATAAGATTGTGACTAGCTCTTTCTTACTCATGACTAGTTCTTTCTTACTTTCTTACTACTTTCTTACAACTTGTGATTGTGATTAAAATTTTTGACAAATTGTTCCGATAAACAGTGGAGAAAAATTTCGTACAAAGCAAGCATTCGAAAAGGATGCGGGATGAAATGCAGGATTGAAATGCTCAATGCAAAGATGATTTTCTCATGCCTGAGGATGAAATCAACTTGGGTGCAAATAAAGCCGATATCGCTGGCATATTGGCAGAGAAAGCTGATGAGGAATCAGCAAAAGGACGATCATGTGTCAATCGAAGCGCCTTGAAAATGGTGAAATTGAATCGAAATCCAAGAACGCAAATTCCGACAACGAGCTTATCATTCGAAAAAGTGATTAAAGAAATTCCGAGAAGAATTTAATTATTTTATCTGATTCGAATTGTTTATTTATTCAATAGCCGACTGACTCGGAATTTCTTTGGCTTGATCTTGAGCAATTTTCACACAAAATCAATAATTGAATTAAAAGCGACGCTAAAAACACAAAACAATTTCATCCTAATTAGGATACAACTTTCACACGATGAAAGGAAAGTCGAAAAAAGTAAAAAACACATCAAATGAACAACAATTGCCTTATATAGGCTTCAAGTCGAGCTTCAAATCGTTCATCCTAAAAAGTGAAACAGGGTCAGAAGACAAATGGAAAATCAAGAAAACCAAGAAAACCAAGAAAACCAAGAAAAACAAGAAAACCAAGAAAACCAAGCAAGAAAACCGTTTTTTAAGTAAATCTATTGATTAGATAGCCAGCAATGAACATTTAACGATAAAAGAACGGCGGTTTTATTTGGTTCAACCCTCCACAAGATATTCAGCTAACAAGCTACAAAGCAATAAATGATTTGGGGCGCACGAAATAGAATAAAAGCGCACGGCATTTCTGCAATACTTTTCCAATTTTTAGGCTTTCAGAGTTAGGTAACTTTTTAGTGACTATTCACCAAAGCATTATCGCTTGATAAAGATTTGGTTTTAGTGAAAAAAAAAAAACTCAAAACTCTCTGCTAGTAGTGCAGGCTGGTGGGGAAGGATTGAAAAAGAAATCGTTGAAACTATTATTACAGAAAACAATACTCAATTTAATCCCTTTCCTAAAAAGCACTCAAACTACCGTAATCTCATTCCCAGTTCCATCTCAATTAGCCTCAATTTTGGTCACATTCACTAGGTTTTGTGATTCTTATATTAAAGTTGACTAAAATTCAATGAAAATTACAGAAAATTACGAAAGATTACGGTAGATTACGGTAGTTTTTCTAAAAGTTCTTTTTAGGAAAGGGATTTGATTAGGTATTTTAGTAGAAATACATTTATTGAAAACCAATAATGTGATACAAACAAAGGATAAATAATAAGACATAAAGATCTAAACACGCAAATTTTATGGCACTGCGACCGTTACCCCTATTATCCCTATGAAATGTTGTGTAAGCAAAAAACCCTTCCTCGGCCAAGTGGGAAAGGCTTCAGCTTGGGTAGTTGCTCCCTGAAGCAAAAAAAAAACCACTTGGTGGGAAAAAGAAACATTTTTATCTTGCCAATGAATAAATGGGAAATACTGCCCCACCCACCCGAACGAACGTTCCCGGCTGTTGCTTAAGCCTTAAGTTGCTTCGCAACGAAAGCTCCAACGTCTAAAAATGCAAATTTTTAGACGTTAGAGACTTCGATTTGAAGCTCGACTTCGAATATCACTTCAAAATGTCAGTTGGTTGCCATAGAGACATTGCAAATGTATTTGGCTGATCAGCAATCTCCGAAAGACAATGTCGACCTTGATTTCAACGATTTCATAAAGGAAATCGTTGGAACCAGGCTCAATGGAAATCCTCGAAGATCAGGATCGACACCATCCACCACCAGTAAGCGATTACTTGGAATTGCGCAAAATCGTCGAGGAAAACCCATGCGTGAGCTTGTCAACATTTTTGATGTTAATCAGACAACCATTTTCAATCATCTGCACCGTGGAAAGGCAATCCACGCCGAATCCACGGCAATCAATCGATTCCACAGCAATCTATCGATTCCACAACAATCCATCGATTCCACAGCAATCTATCGATTCCACAGCAATCTATCGATTCCACAGCAATCTATCGATTCCACATTAGTTGAGTTGATGCAAACAAGGCAATCATGGTGTTGTTGGCTGGAATACTCTATCGAAAGTCAAGGAAAAGCGGATTTTAGGATTGATTCGACGGGAAATCGATTTCATATGTGAATCTCAACAGGAAACGACAATGGCTACGGGAATCTCCTGACTCCAAAGGTAAATCTGCACGGAACGGTTGTGGAATCCAAAAAGACCTGTGCATCTTAAGGTGCTCACGGATAAACAGTGAATTCTGAACTCTATTTTCTACAATTTGATCGACTTCGCCACTTCACCAGCAGGGAACTGATTCGACTGACTGAAAAAGTTTCGCTACCTTCAACGCTCGCTCAAGGGGCTCACGATGACGGTGCTAAAGTTGACGCAAGAGAATGACGCAAACTCGAAGATCTCGGTTGAGAATCTTTCTCTCGTCTTTCCCAAATCGTCAAACACCCGGGTTTTTCGAGAATGTGGATCGAGATTTGAAGGAAAAATAGAGAAACACCATTTCATTCGGCTTAACCTAATCGAAATTGCAATTGTAAAAGCTTTAGCTGCGACAACAGCTGCGACAACAGCTGCGACAACTATTGTATCTTTGCTGTGGATTTGATTAAGAAAGATACTGTACTTTAAAAAGTACTGAAGTTTTTTTAAAAGTTGATCTATTACATTCAAAATATCCAAGCAACCTCAACGTTTTTCTCTTTGTCACCTCCTAAAAGCCAATTTCCCAACCCACCTTTTCCCCCACCATTAGCGCAGTGGTAAAGCTCTCGCCTCTCGCTCGCATAGCTCGATCCCAGCAAGGGTTCGATGCCAGCAATGGCAATGAAGAGATTGAAACACGATTTATTTGAGGGATGAGCTTATCGAGTGGATCCACCGTCGGATCCCCTCGTCGTTCCTGTGACTTGTGCCTAATCTTCTCTCTGAGCCTCATTTTTTAGAATTATTGGCTTTTGCTGAAGCTTTGTCACTGAAAAGATGATAAATTGATGTAAAGGTACGGTACTTTGTTGTATGTGCTCGATAAGCTGTACTTAAACTTGTACTTGTCGTACTTAGCGTACTGTCGTAGAGAGCGTACCTGTCGTACTTAGCGTACTTGTCGTACTTAGCGTACTGTCGTACCGAGCGTACCTGTCGTACTTAGCGTACTGTCGTAGCTGAGCGTACTTGTCGTACTTAGCGTATTGTCGTACAGCGTACTTGTTGTAGCTGAGCGTACTTATCTTACCTAGCGTACTTATCGTACTTAGCGTACTTATCGTATCTAGCGTACTTATCGTACCGAGCCTACTGTCGTACAGAGCGTACTGTCGCTAGTCCAAAAACTGTCAAAAGTGCAATGTCGACTCCTAAATCCAGTACGCGAAATGGCTTGTGTTGCAAGGTGTACTTTGTGCTCAAATCCAAATGTATCCTTTCTGGTACACCCATCTAATTCAAATTCTTCCCAAAATGAGATGCAAGAGGTTTCAATGATCAACATTGGCGCCTTTGAGTCGCCAGTTTTTTTTATGGTTTCTTGTGAGTGAGCCGAACAAGTCTTGCCACTCTCTTTTTCCAAAATAACTCTTTTTCCAAACCCGTCTTTCTCCTAAGAACACTTCATTCACAAAATCCACAATAGATCGCTCTTTGTTATCCCTTTCTTGTTCACTTTTCTTTTTCATTGTTTATTTCTATCACTTCTTTCTTCTAAAATCCAGATTTTAACCAACATTCGATCTTCTTTTTTTTTTCTAAAATGATCAGCTCGCGATTTGGATTGCCATCTCGCGATCTCGCGAGCGAATTTTTTACTTTTTACGATTGAAATCCTTTCCGATATACTCTTTCTATCTATTTCATTAAATCTTTCAGTTTTTAGCTTTGAATCTAGATCGATCAAATCAACAAATCTTCTTCAAACAATCTCTCTTTCTACTCCAATAGCTGATGACACAATTTCAAACGTTTCTCAGCGCTTCACTTTACTTTCTTTCTTTCATTGGGTAAGTGAAAGCGTGTTTATCTTATAGTGTCCACTTTCTGGCTTTTGATCGAACTCTGACCTAGCTTAGGCTAGTAAATAAGCTAGAGCTGGGTTACTTCTAGCACTTTTTGGCTTTTGATCGAACTCTAGACACCTCTAGACATCCTGCGTTTGGCAAAGAAGCCTAAGCTAAGCCTAAGCCTAAGCCTAAGACCGTTTAGAACTGCTTACTTCTAATTATAACCAGATACTTTCCTTATCTTGTTTGGCAATAACGACAAATGAGTGATCAAATTCAGCCTCATCTACGCGATAAAGATTCACTCGGATGGAATCGATTTAGAGGATATTGGTGAGAAATTGTGCACTTTTTCATTCACGAAATCACTTTCAGACTTGAAAAAGTTGGAATCGATTTCACGGATTGCTTCACAGGTACCACCATTGACGCCTTTGAGCTAGAGATGATCCAAAGATGATCGAATTGAGATAGAGCTTTCGAAATGTCTCCAAAGATTTACGATTTCGGAAAGCTCGAAACTTTCCCGTTCTTGTCTACATTTGAGCATGTTTAGCAGCTAGCTCTGATTTCATAGCAACTAGATCTTGTCTTCTAACAGCTAGCTTTGATTTCTTGACATCTAGATCATCTTTCTGGAAAAATACTTTAGAGTGTTCGTTTAAAAGTTTACACGATCATAGAACTTGAGAAACATTACAATAACAAAGCTACCGTACTCGATGGCAGCATTTTCTCTGACTAATCTAAATAACACCGATTCCTTTCAAGCTACCGTAACCTTCCCCCTTTCCCTTCTATTACGGTAGTTTGAAGGGAATGTCTTCGAACAGCTAGCCCTGATTTCTTGACATCTAGATCTTGTCTCCTAGCAGCTAGCTCTGATTTTCTAACAGCTAGCTCTGATTTCTTAACAGCTAGCTCTGATTTCTTAATGGAGCCATTATTGATTAAATGGCAGGTGCCATTTCGATATACAGGCTTTGTAGACAGTCAAAGCTTTGTTGGTAGACGAAATTCAACTTTAGAAAGCAAGTTTTTGTTTTCAAAAGCTTTATTTGAAATCAATAAAAAATAAAGAAAGAGAAGAAATCGAAAAGAAAAGAAAGAAAAGGAAAGTAGCATTTCCAGATCGATATGGTAACGATTCCGATGTCTCCACCTAGATTGGCAACACCATTCCCAACTCTGCAACGAGTGATGAGAAAATATTGGCAACCAAAGGCATTGAGTAATGAAGGAGTGGATGATGGAGATTATGGAGAACGACGAGATTCGGTTTGAACTAGAAAAGAACTGGGAAGAGTTTGGAGGCTTTTGGTCCGCTCATAGTCACTCTAAAGTCTACTCCAGCTACCTAGCGTCCTCTGGTTACTGTAGTAAGGCTCCAGCTACCGTAATCCGTTCCCAAACAGTGCCCACGTTATCGTAAACTATTAAAGCCTTTCCCAGTTAATTTAATGAATATTTAGAGAGAGTTTAGAGTTTTGAAATTCGTCAGAAATCTGTCTCATTGTTCCGACAAATCACTTCTCCATCAATCACAAAAATCCCAATCATTTTGATGACACAAAATCGGTATTATATAAAAAAAGCTTTTTATAATCAATTTTAAAACTTTAGCCCATTACAAGTCACCACAGACATCCCATTTCAAACGACTACTCGACAATTTTTGAGAATAAAGGTTGTTGAGCTTTGCTTCGGCTCTTTTTCTATGATATCTTTATCTTTGTCTTTATCTTTGTCTTTATCTTTGTCTTTATCTTTGTCTTTATCTTTATTTTTATCTACGATCTGCCTTTCGCATTGCTTAGATTTGAACTAAATCCCTTTAGTCAGTGATCCCGATCATGCAAACCTACTCGGATGAGAAACCCGTCGACATCAAAGTTCTACCGTCAGCACTTGGACAGTTCATCCCGCTGGCACCGATCGGTGAGTTCGAAGAGCCAGCTTTTCAACAGATCGAACCCGTCAAGCAGTCAAGATTCTCTAAAGACATCCAAGAAAGACCAAAAGGCAAGCCTGTCTCTAGCTCTGAGCTGGCTCGAGCTGGCTTGACCTCACAGGCTCAGCTTGACCTCACAGGCTCTAGCTTGACCACACAGGCTCTAGCTTGACCTCACAGGCTATAGTTTGACCTCACAGGCTATGGCTTGACCCCATCTCTAGCCAGCTCCTAGGACGAGTGGCTCTGGCTCTGGCTTTGAGCTACCATAAGCCCTCGAAACAGGCATTACCTTAGCACCGATCGATCCAAGTGAAATTCGGCTTAAACGCTTTCAATTTGTAGCTCACGAGGCTCCCAGCCGACTTCAAGGGACCCCGGTGCTGAGAACGGTAACTTCTATAAATATCTAAAGATTTAGATAGCAATTTTCTACTTATACTTTAATTAGATGTCGATTGTCTACATAAAAACTGAATTTCATATCGATTTCGTATCGATTTCTTATCGATTTCATATCAAATTTCTATCAAATTCCCATCCACAGGTCTTGCGCGCACACCTCGTCCGCGGCTCATCAGGGAAAAGCGATCAAGTCGAATACGTGCCGTATCGATATGTGGCTTTATCGCAAAGGTTTAAAGAAAATCGATCTCTAGAGCTAGCTTGTCACCTAGAGCTAAAGAAAAGATCTAAAGAGCTAAAGATCTAAGGATCGAAAGAGCTAAAGATCTAAGGATCGAAAGATCTAAAGGTATGACTTTCTATCGACATCTCCAATTCCAGCATCTCTCCTCCCGTCACCCGTCAACCGCCACTCGGTCCCCCGTCGATTCTCGACCAGTGATCTCATTCTTGGGCTTTATAAAATTGAAATCGTACTTAATTTTGATAAATTTTTGGTTGAATTTGATTATTTTTAAAGAGTATTTTGAGTTTCAGTGAGTAATTGCTCTTTTAAAAGTTCAAAAATAGTTAAACTTTTAAGTTAACAGTTTAAAAATCATTAAAAATCATTAAAAATCATTAAAAATCATTAAAAATCATCTATTCATTGTTAAAATCAATCCAAAAATTTCTTAGATTTGCTCGATTTACTAGATTTTTAATCTTATTTAATGAGAAATAAAAATGTAAATCGAAATTCTGTAGAACTAAAGAGAAATTACAATCGATATGTGGCTTTATCGCAAAAGTTTGAAGAATATCGAGCTCTAGTTCTAGCTTGTCACCTAGACTACACCTAGAACATCGATCTCTAGATCTAGCTTGTCACCTAGACCACACCTAGAATATCGATCTCTGCATCTAACTCAAATTTCTCACTAATTTCAATGTCGCTAGCTGTCATGTAAACAAATTTATCGTTAAACGAAAGATTTTGTACAACGAATTGCTCTTTAAAGTGGGGAAAATGGACTAGCATGATTCTCGAGCTGATAGAGCTGATAAAATAGAAAACATAATAGAAAATAACAATGAAAACCTGATGTTGATGGATCGTTGATGATGAAATATAAGCCAGCACTTAAAAGGGAATCCCAACCAGATATCGGTGGTCAAATGACGATCGCCATCTATCGGTTGACGCAGAATTTCACGCTAATTCCGAATCTGGTTTCCGTTTTTGCTATGGAGTACTCTGTGAAAAGTTATAAGTGTTTAAAGTCAAGGGATTTCAAAAATCATTCCTCGAGTTTATGAGGAGATTTTTGAAACCCTTAACAAAACTTTAAACACTTATAACTTTTCACAGAGTGTTCCATAGCCGAAACGGAAAGCAGATTCGGAATTAGCGTGAAATTCTGCGTCAATCGGTAGATGGCGATCGTCATTTGGCCACCGACATCCGGTTGGGATTCCCTTGTTAACATAAAACTAATATCTGAATACCTTATTTGAACCCGGATTGAAAAGATCAATGATGGCAAAGGAAAATGATAAGAAATACTTGAGAAAAGTTGACAAAACTTTACAAAACTTTACAAAAGTCTAAAAAGACAATTAAAGCACCATCTATAAAAAAATAGATTCAAAAAAAGGCACTCTTTCCCTGAGAAAATTGAAACTAAAAAAAAGCTAAGTAAAAAAAGCTAAGAAAATTCTCGTTTACTCGATCAGTTGTGGTAAAATTGATGGCGGTTGATGGATATCGACTTCAGTTGTCACCACTGATGACGAAGACGATGGGATATTTGAATCGATGTGTGCATTGTATGGAGAACAGTGAGCAAAATCCGTGAATCGACTCTGACGCTTTGGCGATTCGATTAAACGACTCAAATGGGCTGAACAAGATCGACCGGGCACTCGTGTTCCTCCGTCATTCATCCGAAGGCGCACAGTTGGATGCGACGATCTGGATGAGGTTTCTATTGGGTTGGTGAATTGAAAAGTGCGGGATTTTGAACTGAACGGGACTTTGAACTTTGTTCAACATAAAACCAGAAATTCATTTCAAATAATTTCCATTATTATTGACGACTTCTGCTCATTTTACAGGCAATTCGCGGATTTGCGGATTCCTCTTTCGTAGTAGGATTTTGGTTTTGAATCGAAAAACTTTCAAAGCCAATTTTTGACTGCTTCTTCTGAATCGAAGTGTTCTCCCGCAAGCTCATTACTCATGATCCAGAATAAATAGTAAACAAAAGCAGCTGGACTGTATGCGGAATGCGCCAAAGGTCCCCAAACAAGGCTATTTATTTTAGAGCGAGTCAGTTTTGCAAAATGAGGGCGCGCTTTGTCGTGGAGGAGAACGATCGTTGACTTGGAGGGCCTATTCTTTGACTTGAGGCCTATTCTTTGACTCTCTGACTTGGAGGGCCTATTCTGAGAAGCAGAAAGTCTTACGTGATTCCAGCGTCACTGTCTTCTTCAGGGATTCGTGAGACTCAAAAATGGAGGACTGAAGATGTCCCAGTTTGAGCATTTGAGCACTTTCTTCAAAAGAAACCCATTTTGGTATCAATAGAGAAGTTGTAGAGAATCAAAAATTAGGCTTATAGCCAAATTTCCAAAAAGATACACGTAGTAGTTTCGCTTAAAATGCAAGTTTTGGGAAAATTTGACATTTCTTTTGTGTAAATTTGGCATTTCTTGAAAACCAGTTTTTGAATCGTTCCGAAAATTTGGATATAAGCTTCATTTTTGATTCTCTACAACTTTTCTATTGACACCAAAATGGATTTCTTTTGAAGAAAGTGCTCAAACTGTCACCTATGACAATAGCCCTCAGTTTTCAATTCATCAACCCAATAATTTCACTTCTCTTAGTGGCTTACTGTGTCTCAGAATGATTCTTTAGATTTAACTGGTCGTTTAAAGCCATTGGCTCAAGGCACACTGAGTCAAGGTCCACTGGCTCAAGGTCAAGGTCCACTGGTCCACAGTCAAGGTCCACTGGTCCACAATCAGGGTCCACTGATCCACTTAACTAATTGCACTTCTCTTAGTGGCTTACTGTGTCTCAGAATGATTCTTTAGATTTAACTGGTCGTTTAAAGCCTCTAGTTTCTAGCTTGAGAGTTGAGAATTTTTTTCTGAGAAGCAGAAAGTCTTACGTGATTCCAGCATCACTGTCTTCGCCAGTTTTTTCAGTCATTGTTGAATAGCCGAGATCTGAGACAGGGCCGCGTTGTGGTTGATCTATTCGATTGGCTGGGCCATTCGAGCGCTCAAATGACGCTAACACGACGAGTTTTTCTAGATTATGATAGAAATATCCATTTTTTTTTGCTCAAACTACCCCGGCTTAATCCCTCGTGATCAAAATAGAAATCCTCATTTGGATCTAGGGAGTTGAAACGAGCGCAAAGCGGTCCTCCACTTGGATCAGTTGAGCAGATTCGGCGTTCTCGAAGGCGAGATACCTAGAAAATGGAAAAAATACCTAGAAGACACTTTAGCTATTTGTTTCTTGTTCTTAACGACTGACTGCCTGGCGGGCTTAATTTTTGCTGACTTTTTGACTCTAGAACATCTCTAATCTTGTCTATTTTACCTCTGCTGGCCCTTGCCATATTCTTGCCTTGCTTTAGCCTGATTTAGCCTAGTTTGGCTAGTCATGGCTGGAGATTTAGCCTGGTTTGGCTAGTCATGCCTGGAGAATCAGCCTCGCTCGGTGAACCAAATGTTTGATAAAAGAATGTAAAGAAATGGCAAAAGTTATAGAAAAACAGATGGCACTCAGGAACTAGGCGGAATCGAACCCTCGACCCGGCCTTGACCCTCCGCCTACTAAGCAGACAATCTACCACTGAGCCATCAGTGTCTCTGGTTGCCAAGAAGAAAAAGGGCACACAAAGAAGAAGCAAGAGAAACTCAAGCTCGATAAATGAAGTATTTTCATCTGTATTCCCTATTGTTTTCAAATAGCGAAAACAAACGGCAGAGTGTTCATAGCTCAGTGGTAAAGCGTCTGTAAGCAGTAAGCAAAAGGTCGAGGGTTCAATTCTCATAGGCTGCAAATTCTTTTCCCTTCCATTTCTTCATTTCTTTCATTATTTCTTTACTTTCTTAAACGGTGGGTTCACTAAGCGTCAATCAAAGAAGAGCAAAGCAACCCTAGTCTTCCAACTCTTGCACTATTACTATTGTAGCTGGCTTGCAAAGTAGCTGGCTTGATACTTGATAAAAAGAGTATTTAAGTATGTTTCCAATTCGAGTCCTCACTCTATTCTTGTAGCATAACGTAGCGATGAGGATGAGAATCACGATGAAGAAGATGAGAGCAACGATGAGTGAAAGTGGAGTGGTGGGAAGGGGTGGTGGGGTGGACTCTTGCTCGCTTTTCAGAGCTGCTAAAATTATGCTAAAAGTAGAACTCGACTTTTTCCACTCACTGTTCACAGATCTTCCCAAAACTCCACGATAGCATTGAGGAATTGGGAGGCATTTCGCTGTCAACAATTCCTTTGCCTTGTTCTCTTTCATCTCAGAGTGGCACCAAGTGCAACCAGCTGTCAGATCACAAGGTAACTGCTTCTGGATGGTCTCACATCTAAAGCTGGATGTCACGCTAGTTTCTGGGCTCATTTTTAGGCCTAAAATCACAGTACAGTAATCCGACAGTATGGTAGCATTGTGTTAATGACTGGATCTAACCGTGCTACCAGTTGTAGAACGTTACTGTCCTCTGTACTGAATCGTATTCAAATCTAGTGCAGCTAGCTCACTTTGTTGGCTGGCATTCTTCCAGGAAACTTGGTGCTTTCATCAGCTCGAAAGTGTGAGGTGAATTTCTGCATATGGGTACTCGTGGAGGCATTAGTTCTTCTAAATTACTTCCAGATTAAAAATTGAAACCTATAATACCTTTGCCACATGTAGATTTATCAGTAAAAGTGCATGAGCATGGACACTCGCACTCATTCACGTCAAATCGCTCGCAAAACCAGCACCGCCGATCCGAGACCGAACATGGGCAAAAGTGCTATCAAAGTGTTGGAGATTGGGTAAAGTTTTAAACAAAATTACCCCAGATTCCTTTTCCCTTTCCATTGAGCAAGTTTCGTTGATGAGCACGAGAAAGGCATTCGTTTGTGGCACGAGGAGAACCTCGGAGTGAAGTGATTGACGATGAGGAGCAGTGGAAAAGCAACCGTTCTAAAAGTTTATCTAGATCTAGCCAGGCAAGGTTCTTAGCATTTCAAGTCAAGAAAACCAGGCGAGAGCAGAGCCAAGTTTAGTTAGCAGAAGTCTAGAAGTCTAGAGATCTAGAATCTAGAGATCTAGAAATCTAGAGATCTAGAAGTCTAGAGATCTAGAAGTCTAGAAGTCTAGAGATCGAGAAATCTAGAAGTCTAGAAATCTAGGTTTGAAGAAAGTTGGAAGCGTTTGAAGTTTACGTTTGTAGTTTTGTTAGCGTAGTTAGCAAGACTAGAGCCCAGCTAGACTAGAGCCCAGCTAGACTAGAGCCCAGCTAGACTAGAGCCAAGCTAGACTAGAGCCTAAGCCTAAGCCAGGCCAGTTGGGTCTTGTACTTGTTTATCTGGTCTGTCTTGGTGCTAAAACTTACGCTCAAGACTCGATTAAACGTGAGATTGAAGTGGAACTGGTGGTTCAATTGCCCGTTCACGTCTTTGCACTCCGATTTGGCGAATAGGGATTTAGAGGCGAGGAGATGGGAGGCGAGCACAGGGTCGACGTGAGCGATGTGGTATCTGTTAGATGATAGGATTGATTTGGTGCTAAGCTAGATGGCTAGATGGCTCATAGAACATGGCTAGATGGAATTAGAACTAGATAGTATTGAAAAGAAATGGCACAGTATTGTTTCTCCAACCTCTCAACAGCATCCACCGAGATTTTCTTCAGCAACTCGTCGGGAATCGAGAGCGCGTTCCCGTTTTTGGAAAGGAGGAGACAGCGACGACCCTGGAATTGATTTTGAGATGGTTTTGAGATGGTTTTGCTGGTTCTAAACGAATTCTCAGTTTCAAAAGTCACCTCATTGCACGATGGAACCGATCGTTGAATGATGTGAGTGAGATAGTACATCGAGATTTCGACACCGATTACTAGCACTTCCTAAAGTGTAGACTTTTGTTCTAAAGATGCTGCTGTTTCAAGTGAACCTGTTAGTCTGTTCAGACCAGATCAATCATACTAACAAGTGCCACAGAAAGGTTAGATCCCAGATCCTAGCCATGTCTTCTCTTTTTGGAAATTTCACTTTCCTACTCAAGTAGCTAGCTCTGGCTTTTGCATGACTTCCAGATTAATCATTTATTTGATTAGAATCAATTTTCTTAACTCCAATCCAGCTTTCACTGCACCAACCCCGACGCTGACATTGAAAATTTTCTTTTGCTTATCAACGCTTACTAATTAACTCTGGCCATTACATGAGTTCCAGATTAACCATTCATTTAATCAGAATCAATTTCCTTAACGCCAATCCAGCTTTCGGTGCACCAACTCCGACGCTGACTTTGAAAATTTACTTTTGCTATCGACGCTTATCCCATTACTAGCTCAATCCACCGTGTGCCTTCCAGATCGTTCATTTCTTTTCTCAAATTCAACTCGGCTTTGGAAAAACTGTAGCCTTTGCTCTAAAGTGTGTCCCAAGCCGTCACCCAACCTCTAAAGCTTCTCATAATCAGCTACAGCACCCGGTGCTTAAAGGCCCCAACTAGCATAATCTGTTATTGATGGTTGAGCACCTGATTCTCGATGCTAATCGTCGTCGATACAATGACAAAATCGCCTAGAATCGGATCAGCCACCGGACCTGAACAGTTTTTGTCAAAGAAAATCAATTTTTCTACCGATAATCGAGATTTTCCCTGGAGATTCCATTGCGGAAATGTACCTGGACAATGAAATATAGCTGAAATGAAATACACAAATACCATTCCTGTGTTCTTGGATCAAATTTCGGCTCAAGCACAGCAGCTGGTTGGGTGACGAAGAGGCCGCGCCGGGTGGCCGCGAAACGTCGAATCACTGATGGGTTTTCTAAAATTGATCCTGTAATCGGGCCCCTCAAGAGTTCGCCTACAGTAACCTGGCTTTAGAGCTTGTTCCAGCTACTGGAACCCGGCCCTTCAAGAGCTCGCCTACAGTAACCTGGCTTTAAACTCTGCCCAGCTACCGTAACCCGGCCCTTAAAGAGTTAACAAACAGTAACCTGGTTTTAAAGCCTGCCCAGCTATCGTAGTCCGGCTCTTCAAGAGCTCGCCTACAGTAACCTGGCTTTAAACTCTGCCCAGCTACCGTAATTCCAGCCTGTCCGTTACCGTACCCTGGCTTCACCCAGCTACAGTAATCCGAACATTTTAGCCTTAAAATCGGCTACCGAATCCTGCAGCTACCCAACTATTTTACTAGTAAAAACTTAGTATTTAAACGATTCATCTCTTTCTTCTCCTTTTGCCTACTTTCCAATCCAATCCACATTTTGGAGATGATCGCTAGAATTGCTGCCTCCTCTCGAATCCCTTCTTTCATCGCTGACGAGCGAAAGAAACCGATCCTATCCGTTAAATAAACCTAAATTCGATTTTTGAAAGAAATCTCGATTCACATTTACCCAATAGTTAACCACAAGCTGCTCGCTTATTTCTGATTTTCGAGCAAATGGCTCAAATGAATCAAATGAAAGAAAAAGAGAGGCTTTATTTGAGACTGCTAACGATCCATGGTAAGCGCATTGATGATGGAGATCTCTCTGAAAAAGATTGCGTAATTAAACCGGCTTAAACGATTAGATTCACTTGTAAATTGAATTGGTAATAGACGAGATGATCGAAATTTGCGAGTTGCCGATCCAGCCTTTCTTTCAAATGTAACTTTTCAGGAAATTTCCCTTTCAAGTACCCGAGTAGAACCACGAATGGGCCATTGTGAAGCTAAAAGAATTAAAGAATGAATAAATAATTAAATTTCTCTTTTCTTTTATTCAATCTGGAATGCACACTATATAAAAAAAGTGATTTTTGGCATTTTTCTTGAAGTTTTCATCTAATCATACTTTTGGCACACTTTTCTTTGAGTACACCAGAGAGTGAGCGTTTTTAAAGCTAAGCCTTGAGCTAAGCCCAACTTACAACAGTTACCTTTTGCCATAAGTACTCTCTCTTGGTATTCGCTCGAGTGATCACTGAGAACTCGCCGCGTTCGAGATCTGGCTTCTAAAATGGTTTTGGATAAATGAAACGAGTTGTTTTCAACGAATACCGAGAATCTGGAGGTCACTTGATGCTCTCGATTTGCCCAATCGTCTAGATCTGACAGGGAAACTTTTGATGAAATTGTCTTGCTTGAAGCGATCACATTTCTATGATTTTGCATAAAGATATTTAATTGATTGATTTCATTATTTTAATTACCCAGTGAAATCCAAGAAATAGGCTTCTAATTGTGCAACTTTTGGAGAAAAGACGATCAAATTGTGCGTAAGGATTGAGTCAATCAAAATTCTCACATCCAACTCGCCACCAATAAGAAGATTTTTTTGATTCCTCATCACAGTCAACTGAATTTTAGAAAATTTTGATAATCTGATAATGAAATAAGAATTAAAATGCTATTTAAAAGAAAAGTTTAGCTTTTAAAGGCTTTTTAAAGGCTTTGTTGAAAGCTTTTTCAATTAAAAACAGCTTCAAATGGGTGAGCATGTTATGAAAGTTTTTCTCCAGCGTTACAATGCTTCTTTGAAGAGCTATGATGCCTTTGAGTTGAATGGTTTAAGTGTACAAAATGTTCCCCACAAAATCACAGCTTCTGCCGATTTGGGTTTTAGCTGAAAAATCAAGCTTCAGCTTCCAAAACTCTTTTCTTTCCTTGTTTTCCAGCTAAAAGCGATAGCCCATTCGATAGAAAATTAAACGGCGAATTCGAATCGGTAAATGAAACCAGCTTTTTCGAAAGCTGCTTCTGCGAAATCTGCTTTTTTGGCGTCGAATTTTTCTATTGAATGAGCTGAGTCTCGTTTTGAAATCCCACGGTGAGCTAGGACTTTTCCTAGATCTCAGACTAGAAAAAACTCTGTAAACCTCGCAAGGAGCCAAGTCCTTTAGATTACAGCTTTAGATCAGCCCAAGGCGATCAGACAGACCAAGGCGATCAGACAGACCAAGGCGATCAGACGGACCAAGGCGATCAGACAGACCAAGGCGATCAGACAGACCCAAGGCGATCAGACAGACCCAGGCGATCAGACAGACCAAGGCGATCAGACAGACCCAGGCGATCAGACAGACCCAGGCGATCAGACAGACCCAGGCGATCAGACAGACCCAGGCGATCAGACAGACCCAGGCGATCAGACAGACCCAGGCGATCAGACAGACCCAGGCGATCAGACAGACCCAGGCGATCAGACAGACCCAGGCGATCAGACAGCCAGGCGATCAGACGACCCAGGCGATCAGACCAGGCGATCAGACGACCAAGGCGATCAGACACAAGGCGATCAGACCACCCAGGCGATCAGACCACAGGCGATCAGACAGACCCAGGCGATCAGACGACCAAGGCGATCAGACCACCAGGCGATCAGACAACCCAGGCGATCAGACCGACCAGGCGATCAGACGACCAAGGCGATCAGACAGACCAAGGCGATCAGACCAAGGCGATCAGACGACAAGGCGATCAGACGACAAGGCGATCAGACGACCAAGGCGATCAGACAGACCAAGGCGATCAGACAGACCAAGGCGATCAGACAGACCAAGGCGATCAGACAGACCAAGGCGATCAGACGACCAAGGCGATCAGACAGCCAAGGCGATCAGACAGACCAAGGCGATCAGACGACCAAGGCGATCAGACAGACCAAGGCGATCAGACAGACCAAGGCGATCAGACAGACCAAGGCGATCAGACAGACCAAGGCGATCAGACAGACCAAGGCGATCAGACAGACCAAGGCGATCAGACAGACCAAGGCGATCAGACAGACCAAGGCGATCAGACAGACCAAGGCGATCAGACAGACCAAGGCGATCAGACAGACCAAGGCGATCAGACCAAGGCGATCAGACCAAGGCGATCAGACCAAGGCGATCAGACCAAGGCGATCAGACCAAGGCGATCAGACCAAGGCGATCAGACCAAGGCGATCAGACCAAGGCGATCAGACCAAGGCGATCAGACCAAGGCGATCAGACCAAGGCGATCAGACCAAGGCGATCAGACCAAGGCGATCAGACCAAGGCGATCAGACCAAGGCGATCAGACGTAAGGCCAAATCAGATCATAGTCTAAGCCAGGTCAAACCAAGCCAGAGGTCAAGCCAGGTCAAACCAAGCCAGAGTTCATGCCAGGCCAAACCAAGCCAGAGCCCAAGCCAAGCAGAGATCGGCTCCATGCATAAATCTGACTTCTGAAATGGACCAATTACCCAATTCTAAGGTAAGAACCAGAAACCTTTTAAGTCTGACTAGGTTAGAGATGAGCCCGAACAGGCCAGGGCAGGCTAGACAAGTTTGACCAGATCTGGCAATGCTGGACAAACAATGACAGAAGTCTGGACTAGCCTGGGCTAGTGAACCCGGAACAGGCTTTGAATTTGGATCTGAATTAGGATTACAGCAATTTGTCTACCTTCTCAAATCCATTCGCGTAGTAGCTAAACACTTGGTCTTCACTTTTCGTCGATTTCTCGATCTCAGTCAACTCCAACAAAGTGTTCAATTGCAATTCGTGCGCCTCTGAGCCATTCAGCAATATTAACTAAAAGAATTGAATTTTTAAGATTTAAGATTAAGATTTAAGATTCCAAACCTTTCCCAGAGTCGGAAAGTGCTCGGAGCCGTTGAACCTTTGCTGCACTTGATCGCTCATTGATTGACGATAGCGAGTGAAATCGAGTTGCGAGATCGATTGCAGGAATTCGGTTGACCAAAGTAGAGGAGTTCGGTTCTCTGAAAAGCTTTTCCAACGCATATTTTCGCTTTCTTACCATCGCCGATCGCGAAAGTGTTAACACGGAAATGGTAGGGTAAGTCGAGAAATCGTTTTGCTAGCACTTCCAGAGTTTTTGGCGCCTCAGATAGCTCGGACAACATTCCCCGAGAGAAGTACTGAAAGAGTTTTTTCTAGAATAATATAAAAGAGCCGTTTTTCTTTCATTTTTCCAACCAAGACTAGGTCAAGCAAGGCTAAATCTGCTTTCTGACCATTGTTGAAGCTAGATTCACAAGAAAAGCACTCCAGCTTATCACCGCTTACCGCCAAACGCTTAAATAGAAGTTGTAGAAGTGGCTATGATCATCAAAGATCAAAATAAAATCAAAATAAAAACAAGAATGAGGGGCGAGGATTCGAACCCGAGCAATGGACCAATGGCTGGCCTTGTATAAAAGTCCTTTATCCACTGCGCCATCAGCTCCCATCCTCCCGGCTCCCGAGAAAAGCCTTTTAACTCAGATGTCAGAAACTTTAAGCATTTGACGATCGGCGGTTTTGTTGAGCACTTCCCTTATTCGGTCAAAGCCTTATTTGCCAGAAAGTGTTCGATTACGAGACCACAAAAGTACACTTATCCTTTTCCTATAAACACACCGTTTCTAGCAGAGAAACTTCACTTCTAAACCATTTTCCAGAAACTTTGCGCTTACGAGAGCACAAAGTACGCTTAAGCTTTAACTTACATGCAAAATATGCGTGACATTTGTCGAATTTTCCCATAATCCCGTCGCCGCTTCAACAATCTCCGGATGCGAGGATTTGAGGTGAGCATCGGGAAGTCTGAAAACTCATTTCCCAGGACAATTCTTAGTCTAATACTTGATTTGATCCACGAAATCCTGTAGAGTTTTGAGATTCGAATTGCATTGAGTCTCGAGACCTGAAAATTGTAAATTTGATCTTGAGAAAGAAATTGAGACGTCTTGAGGTTTGCCTCAAAAAATTTCGCTAACCATTAATCGTATTGACGATGACGGTGTAACGATGTTTTTCCAATCCAAGCTCGAGCAACAATTTCGCCGTATTTTTCACTCGATTCAATTGCCCATCGCTGGTGATTCCACCTGAAAACAAAGGCGTTTTCAAATATTCAAATCATTTTCTTTCTCACTAACCCAAATCGATGGCGATCACCACGTCTTTTCGTTCATGCCGATCTTGTCGCTGCACTTCCCGTAAACCGACGCCAATGGCTTTCCAGTTATGACTTCTGAAATGTTTTCGATGCATCAAGCACAATCCAAAAACCAATCTGCTTTTAGAATTGGAAACATTCACCGATTTTGCGCTTAGTCGTTAACTGTTTCAGTGATAATTTTGTGGAAATTCAAAGATAAACTAAACTATTTTAGTCATTCGATAACCCTAAGTCTCCTTTTGAAAACTAGTACAAAGTTTTGAGAAAAGAAATGGATGATCTGGAAGGCACACAGTGGATTGAGCTACCAATGGGGATGGGGTAAGCAACATTTTCAAAGTCCGCCTCGGTGTTGGTGCATCGAAAGCTGGTATTGGAGTTAAGAAAATTGATTTCTGATCAAAGAAATCATTGAATCTGGAACTCATGCAATAGCAAGAGTTAACTAGCTAATTGCGTTGGAAAGTGAAATTCCAAAGAGAAGCAAGAGAGAATTTTCGATGTCCAGCTCTCGTCGGTTTGGCGCAGTGAAAGCCGGATTGACAGAGTTAAGAAAATTGATTCTACCATCGGAAATGCAAATGATTAATCTGGAAGTCATGCAATAGCCAGAGTTAACTAGTAAGCGTTGATAAGCAAAAGAAAATTTTCAAAGTCAGCGTCGGAGTTGGTGCAGTGAAAGCTGAAGTACCCCACCCCCATAATGACGGTGTGGAGTGTTGCGTAGTCTAGCTTTGAACGAGTTTTTCTCGACACTGGTTTATGCTACAATGTTCGTTTAGGTATCAAAAATTGCTGAAATTGAAGGGATTTGAACGAATTGATATCAATTGACGCATTTATTGAAAGTACGACTTAAACATTTGCGACTACCCGCTCTCCTAGGGGCTGGGGTACTATTACAGCATTTACGGTAGCTAGAGAGATCAAATGACGCGCAATATTTGTCACTATAATCCCGGGACACCTGGATAAAAGTTGTATTGTAAGTAAACTCATTTCAATCGTAAGTAAACGAATTTTCACTCACCTTTTCACTGGTATCCTTCTCGGCGGACATTCGGCAAATTGTTGTGAATTGTAGAGAAAAAACGAGTCGACGAATGGTTCTCTCAACAAATTGGATGTCACTAAGAAATATTGTAAGCTTTTCACGAAATTCTCTCACGATTCTCATTCGTCACAAAATTCCCTCCATTTTCCACATTTGAGCAACACTGACCGATGGGTTTTCTGCAAGATTTTTGTTGGTTACTTTAAAAAATTTCATACATTGAGCTGCGGAGTGGATCGGTGACGTATCGACACGAGTTTTTCACCGTTTTCCCATCTAGTGACGTGTTTTCGGCGATTTTTGAGAGTTGCCTTTTCTAAACTCCCAAAGCATTAGGGTCAAATTTTTGACCAATTTTTGAGATTAATTTTTGCCTGATTTCTTTGTGAAATCAAACATTTTCTGGTATCATTTGAAAGCCTAAAATCTCTTCTATTCAAAGGTATATAAGGCTAAGAGTAATCTAATCCCTAAGCAAAATTATTGGCGTTTAAAGTTGTCTATTTTCACTCGGCCGAAACCCCCTCCCCCCGGCTTTGAGCAAAATCCGTGCCCAGATTTTGGATCAATTTTCTCTATGATCTTTTAGTTCAATCAAACTGTTTTCATCGTACAGAGGACAGGCTTTCAAATGAGACCAAATAGAGGTTGATTGGATAAATGAGTCCAAAGAAATCAGAGCCAACTCCGAGACCAATCCAACTCTACTCTCGTGTCGCCTCGTTGCATGGAAATGAAAAAGCCAGTTAAGCTCTATTTGGTATCATTCGGAAGCCTAAAATTTTCTCTATTCAATGGTATATAAAGCTAAGAAGAATATAACTTCTAAGCAAAGTTATAGGCTCTCAAAGTGGGAGACAAAGTTATCCCAAAATCCTTTGTGGAAATTTTTCGGATCAATTTTCTCTATGATCTTTTAGTCCAATCAGGCTGTTTCTAGTATCTTTCGAAAGCCTAAAATCTCCTCTATTCAACAATATATAAAGCTAAAAATAACCTAAGTTCTAGCCAAAGTTATTGGCTTTTAAAGTTGTCTATTTTCACTAACGATTTCGCCGAGTTTCCCGTCGATTCCCTCAGTCATTTCGTTGAGGATTTGCATTGGATTAACCTCGATTTTCTCGTAGTTCAACGACTCGACATGTTTCTAGAAGAAAAAGATAAGATTTCAGTCCTTAAAGTCCTCAAAAACACGAAAAATCATCTAGAAAAAATGGCTAGAAATGCCACTCATTCTTGCTTCTTTTTCTTGTCAAAAGCACGCTTTCTGGCACACTTATCGAATATAAAAAAAAGAAACAAAAGCCAGTGTGCCAGAAGGCCACGATTTTGAATGAAAACGACTTCTAAATTTCGATCTTGCTCACCAGTGCCTCGTTTTGCAACAAAAGATCGTTGAGTGTTCCCCTCAGCGCTCGGCTCAACCCATCAGCTGACAAATGGGCTCCAATCGAGAAATAATCCTCACTCAATGAGCTTCTCATTAGCTGCTTTGCGTAGCATGGCAAAATAAATACTAAATTCCGTTTCTTAAAAAGCTTTCCACTCATTTCCGGTTCACTTACGCAGCCATAAATGAAAAACGATCGCTTTTCTCGTGATCATCATGAAATCATCTCTGAAAAAGTTAAAAAACGGTTTTTGTCTACAAGCTTATCACAAAAAAAATTGGCGACTGGAATCGAATGTGAAGCAAAATGAGTGAAGTGTGGACAGTGTTGAGATGTCATTTGTATCGAGATGGACTCTGGAAAAGGGCTTCCAAGCCTTCCAAGGGCTTCCAACTTCCAACACAAAGCTAATCTAAGATAGAAAAGCAGAAAATCAATAGTTTTTGAAGAACTTTAGTAAAAAAAAGTTTTTTTAGTAAAAACAGTTCGATGAAGGATTCGAACTCGAGACTCCAAGACCAAATCGCTCTCGAAACTGTCCAGCTATCCACTAGGCCACGCCGGTATCCATATGCCCCTCGTCAGAAGTGCTTAAAAGGGCCTTCTCGTGCATTAGATTCTTTGAATCTTTTTGAGAAATCAAGGCTTTTTAAAGGGAATTTCTTTAGAAGAAAAATGAAATGTTCCAATGCAAAAGGGTATTCGTTTGAGCCTAAGCACAAAGTACACCCAGCAGTTGACCTTTCAGCGCTTTGAGATGAAAGCTAGCTAAGTCAAACTAAGCCAAGCTAAGCCTAAGCCAAGCCAGGCCAAGCTAGACCAAGCTATGCCCAAGCTATGCCCAAGCTATGCCCAAGCTAGGCCCAAGCTAAGCCTAAGCCAGGCCTAAGCCAAGCCTAAGCCAGGCCTAAGCCAAGCCTAAGCCAGGCCTAAGCCAAGCCAGGCCAAGCCAAGCCAGGCCAGGCCAAGCCAGACCAGAAAACCATTCAATAACTGCTTCAATTGCAAAAATAGTTCTAAAAATGTTTCTAATACAAGTACAGAGTACGGTAGGCTTAAAACGACAAAAGAAACGATCAAAATTTCTACAATCTTGATTTTTAAAAGCTAATCTGAATCCTATCTAGTTACATGTGTTTTCGTAATTCTTTTCCCCATTCTCAGTCCAAAGTGAAACCACCTGCTTAAGTGCAAAGAAAATGGTCATATAACCCTTTTCAAAATACTTTAAAATCAAAGCTACTGTACCTTTTCGATCAGATTTCTCTTGTGTGCGTTCCAGAATGCGCTTTTAGTTGAGAAAATTGTGGGGATATCCCTTTCTCAATCATTTCAATGTCAGAGACAAGCACCTCCTTGACTTGTGATTGCTTTCGCCACTCGCCATTTATGGAAACCCCCTCCAATCAACTCCGTGTTTCCCCAGGATTCGCAAAAGTTCTCGCGACAAAACCCGATTTGCTTTGGAAGATTGAATGTGTTCGGTATTGTATTTTTTTGGTTTTTCTCATGGTTTTATAAAATTGACTATTTTAGCATCAAAATATTCTAATCTACCTTCCAGAAAATGCGATTTAAAAAAAGAAAACCCTAAGAAGGCGTTAAGGATTTGCTTTATATTCTGCACTTCTCTTCATCATAGAATATAGAACTCTGATATAGAATATTCAAAGAGTAAACATTGTGCCAAAGCAATCTCTTTTCCAGCAATCAATCTGTCTTCATTTCTCTAAAGAAGTAAACTTTTCGAACGTTTTTTTTCTAATTAAAATAATTGTTTTGCGGTTTTGCGGGGATTCGCGAAAAGAATGAAAAGAATGAGATCCCCGGGGATTTATCCGGCTCTCTCATCTGCCCTACAGTCTATAAGAAAAGAGAGGCGATTGCCCGGGTAACCGAATCAGTCGCAGTATTGAGGTGGAGTCTATAAAGAGGAGATTAGACTGGAAGAGGAGAGGCCTCTAGGCTGGAAGACGCAGTTCAATTCATCCAATTCATTCAATTCATTCAATTCTTTCAATTCGCGTATCCCCTCGAGAATCCCTACATCTCTATCCCGTCTACCTGCCCGTCCATTTCTCCTTTCCACACTCCATTTAACGAGATCTCCCGGCCGCCTATTTCTTACGATTTAGATTATTGATCGGATTGGCCAGAGCAATCTGATCCCCAAAGTTCCAAGACGTTCCTCGACTCCAACTTTTTGCACTTCCCGATGGTCCAATCCAATTTCTAGACTCTGTCGATCTGGTTGAAACCGCCAAACCGATCGGAGAGCTGGAGAGCGGAAATTCTCTCTCACTTTTCTTTGGAAATTTCACTTTCCCACTCAATTAGCTAGCTCTTATTATTGCATGAGTTCCAGATCAATGATTTATTTGGTCAGAATCAAATTTCTTAACTCCAATCCAGCTTTCGATGCACCAACACCGAGGCGGACTTTGAAAATTTTCTTTTGCTTATCAACGCTTACTAGTTAACCCTGGCTATTAAATGACTTCCAGATTAATCATTTATTTGATCAGAATCAAATTTCTTAGCTCCAATCCAGCTTTCGATGCACCAACACCGAGGCGGACTTTGAAAATGTTGCTTACTCCATCCCCATTGCTAGCTTAATCCACTGTGTGCCTTCCAGATCAACCATTTCTTTTCTCAAATTCAACTTTCTCAACTTTAATCGAATTTTCAGTGCACCGTCTCATTTCGTTGTTTACGGTGGCGCTGACTTTGAGGATTTTGCTTATCCCATTGCTCTGTCCACTGTGTGCCTTCCAGATCAGCCATTTCTTGTCTCAAATTTCCATGTCAACTTTTCACTGATCAACTTTCCATTATTGATTCGAAGTCTTTACTTTACCAGACTGTCTTTACCAAAATATTCTAGCCAGCCAGTCAGCCAGTCAGCTAGCTAGCCAGTCAGCCAGTCAGCTAGCTAGCCAGTCAGTCAGCCAGTCAGCCAGTCAGCCAGCTAGCCAGCTAGCCAGTCAGTCAGCCAGTCAGCCAGTCAGCCAGTCAGCCAGTCAGCCAGCCGGTGGCCTGCTAGCTAGCCAGTCAGCCATCGCCAATCAGCCAGTCAGCCAGTCAGCCAGTCAGCCTGCAGTCGGCCAGTCAGCCAGTCAGCCAGTCAGCCAGCTAGCCAGTCAGCCAGCCAGTCAGCCAGCAGAATATCTAATTTTTGCAAACCAAAATCGAATTCTAAGCAAAGCCTTTCCCGTACTGCTTGCTTACTTTTGGACGATAAAATCTCTAGATCCCTTTCATTTCTAGATCTCTTGATTCTTTTGCAAGCTATTGACCTGACCAAGTTTTTGATTTTCAGTGCGTGTGACTGTTTTCCTGGGGTGATCTCGCCAAAACACGGTTCAAACATGTCCCTCCAGCCTGGCTCTTATCGCTTTTTTGTCACCCACAGAAATTCATTTCGATGGCCATAAAAACCCTTTTGAAGGCACCCCTTTCCCCAATGCCTGTACCCAAAAATCTCCAAGTTATTCGACGAAATTTGTTCGACAAACTTCTCTTCGTCTTTCTGAATTCCCTCCATTGAATCCATTGAATCATCCTTTCAAAGCCAGATAAAAGACCATATAGGCAGCTGGCCTCAGCTCTCAGCCTAGCTCTCAGCCCAGCTCCCACCCAGCTCCCACCCAACCCCATTCACCCATTCAAAAACTATCCAATCAAAAAAACGATAACTCCTTCAACTGCTGTGCCTGCCAGGATTCCCAATGATTTTTTAAAAATATCGATTTCTTTGCTGGAAACAGCTGTTTTTTTTCTGTCAATCGTCGATTTCTGTCATTTTTTGTCGATTCTCCCTTTTCTCTTTGCGTTCAATTTCTTCAAATTGTCGATTCAAATCATTTGTGACATTGTCAAGGGTTTTTCTTTTTTACTCCCTTTTTCTTTGCAATTCTTTCAATTTCCCCCTGAAAATTCTTTGGAGAGCTGGAGAGCGGAAATTGTCTCTCACTTTCCTACTCAAGTAGCTAACTCTGGCTATTACATGAGTTCCAGATTCATCATTTCTTTTATCAGAATCAATTTCCTTAACTCCAATCCAGTTTTCACTGCACCAACCCCGACGCTGACATTGAAAATTTTCTTTTGCTTATCAACGCTTACTAGTTAACTCTGGCTATTACATGAGTTCCAGATTAATCATTTATTTAATCAGAATCAATTTCCTTAACTCTAATACCAGCTTTCACTGCACCAATACCGACGCTGACATTGAAAATTTTCTTTTTGCGTATCGACGCTTATCCCATTAGCTCAATCAACTGTGTGCCTTCCAGCTCATCCATTTCTTTTTTCAAATTCAACTCTCTTAACTTTAATCGAATTTTCAGCGTCTCCTCTCGTTGCTCACAGTGGCGCTGTGTCCGGCGGCGGGTTTTGAGGCGGCTTCGGCATTGGCCATGGCCGCCCTGCAGCCGATCTCCACCCTGAGCACTCCGTATTCGCATGCGTCGAGTCTTTCCCAATCACTGCTTCACTCCTATCCAGCGGCCGCTCAATTGCAAGCATTTTACACCGCAACACAGCAGCGACCGCATGCCGGAATAAAGGTTTGTTTTTGGTGCGGAAAAATGGTTTTCCACAGTCTACATTCACAGTTTTCCATAGTCTACTATACATTAAACATTCTGGTAACTCAAATGTTCGCAAAACTTTAAAAAAAAGTGATCCAAAACGAATTTACAAAAGAGAATTTAGAATTCTAAAGCAGCGCCCTAAATCTGTTCGAATTTTGTTTTATTTTTCATTTATTTGGTATGATTTGGTCTAAATCTCTATTAAATATCAATAAGAAAAGTGTTTTAAAAGCATTGAGCTAAGATTTTATGACGTTGTATCGTCGTAGGCATCGAGAAAGGGTTTTGTTGTTCTAGAATTTTCTTTTCATTACCTTCTTTTCATTACCTTTCTCCTTCATCGTCATCTTCCCTTCACCACCAAAAAAAAGCTATTTAGTTCCCCATTGAGCTTAGGGTTAGGGAGCCGTCTGTCATGACGTGGGTTAAGTTAAGATATAGCCTAGTATTGTGTGTGTCGTTGTATTGTGATTGATATATTTCGTGAATGCGATAAATTCACCACTGGTAGCCCCAGTCGGTATTTTTTTTACCAAAATCTCGAAATTTGTTTTTTTTTTCACTTATTTGATATGATTTGGTCTAAATCTCTATCAAAATATCGAAAATATCGAAACTATTAAATATCAATAAGAAAAGTGTTTAAAAACATTAAGATTAAAAAAAAAATCTCGTTATGTTTGCTCGTTATGAATTCCCTCCATTGAATCATCCTTTCAAAGCCAGATAAAAGACCATATAGGCAGCTGGCCTCAGCTCTCAGCCTGGCTCTCAGCCCAGCTCCAAACTTTGCGAGCGAGTTTTTACCCGCTATAAACATAATATCACTTTTCTCATTAGCTTTTCCGATATGATGTATTGTCCACCAATGTCCACCAATTTTGAGGTTGGACAATTTATTCCAAAAACCAATCCAGAATCTAGATAGAAAATAGATAGAAAAACAGATAGAAAAATAGATAGAAAAATAGAGATATAGATACAATAAGTCCTTTTGCTCATTGCATAAGTCCCAGCCTTTTGCTCATTACATTATATGGAAATAATTTCACATCGATCAAATTACACGATTGAAAATTGTCCAGAATGAAAATTTGTCAAAAATTTGCCAAAAATTTCTCCTTTTAAACACGATTAACCACGAACTAGCCCTTGGCGGGTTACGCTAAGAAAAATACCATTATTACTATAACATTGTATCGTCGTAGGCATTGAGAAAGGTTTTTGTTGTTTTAGAAAATCATTTCCAAAATCAGTTTCTTCTGTTCTTCTCTTTTTCAGATTCTGTTCTGTCTTTTCTTTTTTTCTGAAAAACAAAGAGCTCTGGTTATATTGTCAAAAGAACAAAAAAAAGAAAAGAAATAAAGAGAATTTTGCGATGGAATGGAAATGAAGGGAAAAAAATGGGGGGAAAATGGCAAAAAAGAAAAAACGGAAAAAGAAAGTGGACACAAGATGGTATCGATCATTTTTGTGGAAGTGGAAGAAAGATTTAGACTAGTTATGTGCCGAAAAAACATTGTACTACTCGATTCGACGTTCTAACGCTTTTATCCACCACTTTGCTCGTCATTGACATTTCACTCTTTAGTGTACTTTGTGCTCTCTAAAATTCGTCTCATCTGGCCAACTCAATCAGCACTTGTTTCATTCTTTGTGCTCTTGAGAAACGCAGGCTTTCTAGCACACTGAATGAGCACTTGTTTCATTCTTTGTGCTCTTGAGAAACGTGTGCTTTCTGGTGCCTAATCTCGATTGTTTTTCAACCAGTGTGCCAGAAAAAAATGCGTATAATCGAAGCACAAAGTACAGCTTTATTTATAGCTCCTCTTATCCGATTTTGGACTCAATAAAGCTTGAAAAAGCAATATATTTCAGACTATTCTCCTCACAATTCACGGCTCTCAATGTTTGTGGCCATTTTATGCAATCTCTAAATTCTAAATATCGATTTTCCTCTATTTATGAAATGTAGTATCATCATTGAAGAGAGATTTTTGAGATCTAGTACTAGTACTAGATCACGAGTACTAGATCACGAATACTAGTACTAGTACTAGATCACGAATACTAGTACTAGTACTAGATCACGAGTACTAGTACTAGTACTAGATCACGAGTACTAGTACTAGTACTAGATCACGAGTACTAGATCACGAGTACTAGTACTAGTACTAGATCACGAGTACTAGATCACGAGTACTAGAAAGAAAAGTACTAGATCACAAAGTACGAGATTTCAAAAAGAGAATGAGAAACTCGATGGGTAGATCATTTGATAGAAAATCGAATTCGGATCTCGAATCTTTAAGCAAAAACTGCCAAATAATGCTTGCAAAATGCAAGATTTTTCGCTTAAAAGTTTTTTAAGTCGAGTATAAGCAACCCCTTTGGATGGCGCTCGTGGTGCAGTGGATAGTGTGATGGTCTGCAAAACCGGCCAGACTCTTTTCTGCTGGGTTCGAATCCCCGACCTACCAAATCTTTTGCTTTTCAATGAAGTTTCTGATTTTCACAAATTCTTATAGGATTTTATTTTCCTTTCTTTGATTAGTACGGTAGATGCTTTTGTAGATCGTTTGTAGATCTGTAGATCGTCTGTAGATCGTCTGTAGATCAGCTGTAGATCGTCGGTAGTTCGGTAGATCATCTATAGATCTATAGATCATCTATAGATCATCTATAGATCATCTATAGATCATCTGTAGATCATGATCTTAGCTCTTAGCTCTATCACATTATCCACTACAAAACACGATCCTTCTTCCCATCTCATCCATTCAATCGATTAGACTTTTCCCCTTTTTCATATCTACGCTTTTGATCTTTCAGTGCATGAGTCTGAAAATATCTCATTTATCTCAATCTCAATAAAAAGTCTGAAAATATCTCATTTATCAGCGATTCCCATTGTTCTCATTAGACTAAACAAGCTAAAGAATAGATAGAATTTGAGGATAAATTCAAATCGAATACCTTCTCGCATTTCTCGTTTAACCGTCACCGAATTTTAGCCAACAATCGACATGTATCAATTGAATTTTTGTACAAATAAGAACTGTGAAAGCATTCTTTTTCACAGTTTCTCCCCTCTCCCCCGTATCCATTTGTTTTGTTTTGTTTTCTATTTTGACTCCACTCACCAATCGACCACTTTTTCCCCAATTTGAGTCACTGCGTTTCCCCTTCTCCAGCCGATCGTTTGACCATCCATCCGAAAATGGCATCACACGCTTTTCTTTTTCTTCTTTTTCTTAATCAATTTCTTCTTTTTGCTTACTTTTTTGATTTCATTTTAAGAATTATGAGAGAACATTTTTGTCAAAATTACAGTAACTTTTGGCTAGTACTTTTGGCTTCTTCTGGCAAAACTATGGCTTCTGTTTTGTGTTGAAATTCGAGAGTAATTCTATTTAGTAATTCGGCAAAGCTTTGAGCAAATCATTTATTTAAGAACTAGATAATATTTCTCCAAAAATCCCAGGGTTTCTTTAGAGGGTTAAAAGTCAAATTGACAAGTATAATGCTTGCTTAGAGGTAGGTTAGAAATCTAGGGATTTGCCAGGAACTGGAAGGCTATCTTCATTGTACTAATGGGTTAATGATAAGGTTAGTGACCAGGATTATCTACCCTGAGATCCAGGGCTTAGGGGCTGGGGTTTAGGCTCCAGTGTACAGGATACAAGGCTTAAAGGTCCAGGATACAAGGCTTAAAGGTCCAGGATACAAGGCTCAAAGGTCCAGGATACATGGCTTAAAGGTCCAGGAAACAAGGCTTAAAGGTCCAGGATACAAGGCTTAAAGGTTCAGGAAACAAGGCTTAAAGGTCCAGGATACAAGGCTTAAAGGTCCAGGATACAAGGCTTAAAGGTTCAGGAAACAAGGCTTAAAGGTTCAGGAAACAAGGCTTAAAGGTCCAGGATACATGGCTTAAAGATCCAGGATACATGGCTTAAAGATCCAGGATACAAGGCTTAAAGGTCCAGGATACATGGCTCAAAGGTTCTGAAGTCCATGGCGCCCATTTTCAGGATTTAGACACATGATGATCAATAGAGAAAGACTCAACAAACCCAGTAGCCTCATAGCTAGATAATCGATATCAAGATTTCCCGCAAACTGGCTCAACAATTCCCGTCGAACAATTCAAGGATTGAATAGTGGACCCCATTCCTCTCTCGACTTTCCGGAAAATTTCGGGTGGAGACCCGTGAAGATTGTTTCACTTGACAAACAGTGGCCTCGAGAGTGGAGAAGGCTGGGGAACCGGGCACTTCTCGCGCACTCTTTTTCCCCCGTCTTCGTCTAATTTCTTCACCACCTTCAATAAACTTAAGACTCCAGTTATTTTTCTTTCTTTTACTCGATGTTGAAGGTAGCTAACAGTTATCGAAACAGTGAATACTTTTAACTAAGTTTCCTTTTGCTTTTGTTCGTATTTTTTAAAGTCGATTTTCTTGGGCTTAAAATAGAGTAAATTCTCTAAAGACTTTTTGGACTTTAAGATCAATTGGTTTAATCAATGGGTTTAATCAATGAGTCTAACTAAGGAAAGGCACTAGATCAAGGTGACTTTTTAATACAAGAGCCAATTATAAAATCGATGCTGATTCTGAATCTGCTTTTACTTTTTCTAAAGGAGTTCTGTAAAGCGAGATTTATGGCATCAAAGTTTAGATCAATTTTCGGAATTTTTTAAAGTTTTTTTCTTGTTAAATGCGAAGCTAGTAGCGCAGTGGTTAGTGTGTTTTCTTCCAAAATTATTTGATTCTTTTTTTTGTCCGGATTCAAGTTCGCTTCTGGTATATCATTCTTTTTTTGCGAAAATGATTAGAAAATGTTTTTTTTTTTTTTTTCTGGTATCAGGATTGATTTATTTTGTCTTTGATTAACGAAAAAATAATTAGAAATGATTTAGGAATATAAATGCTTTGTTTAATCTTGTTTGTTGTTGCTGAGAAAAAGTGTTCACG